ACCATTTTCAAGCTCTCTTCAATCCTTGCAATTAAACAGGCTATTTTGTTACTGCACATCTAAGACTGATATATATAAATGAACTTTTCTCTGATTGGCTGTCCTGTATTGTGCTTATTTCAAAAATCAGTCTGGGCTGAAACACTCCCTATAACTTCAGCGTGAATGGGTGGAGCTAAACTGCTGCAGGCTGAATAGGCAGATGGATGTAAGTGCATTGTTTCTTGTGACATCACAGAAACACTGAGTTCAAAACAGGCCATTTTTGCTGTGTAGTTTCTATATATGGACTGTGAGGACTGGGGACTGAATAGCATGTCTTGAAACTTTAGCCGTGTTTTGATTTTTCCATGATATGGGCCCGTTAAGTTCAGGTCCTATCAACACCACTGTGAATAATTTTGTCTTAGTACGTTTCTCTAAGGTGAAGCGTTTCACTTCAAACCACTCTGAATGACTTTCCTAAGTATTGAGTTATTAGAAATTGAAAAACAACAAACAAAAAAATCGGTGTAAAAAAAATCAACTCTAAAAAACGCAATTGAAAAGTTCTTTCTGGAACCAAATGTGGTTCTTCTAGGGCAGGGGTAGGCAACCCAAATGTTAAGAGGAGCCATATTTGTCAAGTTTCAACAAAAATCTAACCAACTTGGGAGCCACAACATTTTATGTCCACTTTATTGAAGTAATGTTTCACCATCTTGGCTGTAAATATGTCTCAGTATGTGCTAATGTCCTAGTAAAGGCTAAAAAATATAAAAAAAACTAAAATGCAGACTTATTTTGCTCTACTTTAAGCATTAGCTCAGCTATAGCTGCTTTTCTCACATCTTCTGCAGGAAACTTTCCGCAAAAGTAAAGTAGTATCTTGTAAAATGTCTCTCAACGACATTTAAGGTGGAGTGTGAAAATTCGAACAGGAAGCTGGCGAACAAGAAGTCAACTTGGCGACTTTTAGTGTTTGACAGTTTCTCGTTGCAGATTAAATGTATCAGGAAACCAACTAGAGTGATTATAAATGCTTGTGATTATAAATTAACTCCAGCGTTTAAGACCATTTACTGTTAAAACTGTGTTAGAACGGTGAATTAGAACAATCAGCAGATCTTTATTCTACTGCAATGGAGAATCATTTTATTTTTAGTTAAAAATCTAATTCTGCTGTGGAGCCACTACATGGCAGTCATGGGAGCCACGTGTTGCTGACCCCTGTTCTAGGGCATTACACCAAAGAAACCTTTATTTTGTCAGAGTGCAGATGAAAAGCTGTACCTGAACCTCAGTTAGAATACCACTGTACTGCTTAACTTTCAGCCCCAAGTTACTAATTTGAACCTCTTGTTTTATTTTTCTTTATGAATTTTGACTTGTTGAGAAGATATCAATGTGGTAGACACCAGAAATAGGTTGAGAGATTTCTTTTTCTGCCTCAGGGTAGAAATCCAGGCAGCAACTCGCAACCATATCAGTGAAGAGGTCCTTCTATCCCACACACACATCATTCATGCGCTGTGCTTGTTCTTTGACCTTCTGTCAGTTTTGACGAGCCTTTTAAGATTGATGTTTTTTCCCCTGCGCGGGGACCCTCTGATGTGAAGTGTTGAAAAACTCCATTGGCGTGGAACAAAGGAGCAGCGCATTCGGCTTGAATGCTGACAGTAGCTGCTGGAGCGAGGCATTATTGCTGCCGGCGCTTCGTCCGCCCGCTTCAGACGGGTGACCTGCCACTGTCAGTCCTCTTCTCGTCAATGACACCGGCACAAACACACCTCGCTGACTGATGAAAACCTCTGATAGACATCATGTCATACTGGGCTAACCTTGTGACATGTTATGGCTGAGGATGCAGACAGGCTTTTCAGCGTTCCTGCCATTTCACCCAATCAGTTTTGATTGATGGCGAACCACACTTTAATCACCTGTTTATCCTGCTGTTTAATCAAATATTTAAAGTTTGATTGAGACAAATGCAGTTTTCCTCCACAGCCTTTTCCAGCTGTACTAATGCATTTTCAATTATGTTAATTGTTCTTTGCTTGATTTCTTTTTTTTTTTTCGTATACAATTGTATGCAAACGTTTGGGCAACCATGGTTAAACGACATGTTTTGTTGATTTAAAATAAAATAAGTTAATGAAACAATTACATGAAACAAATGTAAATATTACACATTTATACAAAATTTTAATGTAGATTTACTACTCATTGGCTGAATTTAATATTGGAAAAAAAATGGGTCATGGGCAACTTTTAGTTGATCCAGTATCATTATTTTTTGCTGGCTTATTTGGCTTCTTAGGCCTTAATCCAAGTCAGATGTAGGCAGTTCCAGAGCCGAATAAATTATAGAACCTCTCAAACTTCTCATCGAAATTGCAAAAGATCTGAAACTAAACATAATTCACTTATACAAAGCAAGAGAAGACTATAAAAGATATCTAAACACTTCCTGCTTGTAATTTTCACTGTCTAAAATGTCTTTAAGAAATATAAGTTAAGTAGAGCTGTTAAATTCAAGACAACATCTGGAAGACCAGGAAAATTAGGAAAAAAAAATTCTCGTAGACAGATCAGGTGTGCAAAGCAAAACCCCCCACATCACTGCCAAGGATCTGCAGAAGGATTTGGCTGGAACAGGAATAATGTTGCACTGCTCTACTGTGCAGTGTTGTTGGACAAACATTGTCTATATGGAAGAATCATCAGAATTGTAACTTAACTGTAAAACTTTTCTCATCACAAAGGTCAGTGTTTGAAGTGTGCAATACAAAATTTAGAATAAACCAGAGGCATTTTGTAAACAAGTGCTGTGGTCCGATAAAACAACTCTTTGGCCACAATCACCAAAGGTATATTTGAAGATGGAAAAGAGCAGAATTTCAATAAAAAAGCACTTTGTCGACTGTTAAGCATGAGGGTGGATATATTATCCTTTGGTGCTGTGTGGCACAGGGCACAGGAAATGTTGTGGGCATAGAGAGAGAAGAATGAAGAAGAAAGTGTTCTATTGAATATTCACAGATCCTGGGAGATAATCTTGGCCAAAAAATCCAAGCCTGTGTGGTAAGAGAAGCACTATGGAACATTCCTATTGGGCAGTCCTCAACTTTTGACTTCCGTCATCCACTTAACTGAGGAATCCTGAAAGTCTATCCTAGCGCACACGGACAGGTTGCTAGTCCATCACACTGCTCAGCTTTTGTATATTCAGTTGTTGAAGCTTCTGGATAATTTCCTGACACTCAAACATGAATAACTTGTACTTAGTGGCTGTTTTGACTGGAAATTAAATAAATGAAAGTGTTTTAATCTGTGAACAAAGCTGTTCTGAATTGATATTCAGGGAGGGCTGGGCTTCTCTGTTTACTTTTAGGCAGACATGGGGGAGTAGCTAAGTAGCGCGCTACTATTTGTAGCTAACTACAAATATTTGTAGCTGTAGCCGCTACAGTTTTATGAAAAGTAGCTTGTAGCTGTAGCACCTACAAAATTTTGTGTAGCTATAGCGATAATTTTCGCTACAATTTTGCAACTGGCTTCAGGCAATCCGCGCAAAATCTGAACCACAGAACGTGGTCGTTAACTGGGCTGGTGGAGGTTGTGCTATCCTGACTGAGCTGCGGACAGTCCGAGCAAACGGGCACACGCGGGTTTGAAGACCCTTCTTATTCTCCTGCTTCTCATTCGAATTGTCCCATTCCACCTTAAATGGTGCCTGAGGTGCCAGATTGTACTTCTATGCCATTTAAGGTGGAACGGGACAATTCGAACGAGAAGCTGGTGAATGAGAAGCGACTTCAGCTTCACGAGTTGTTGCAGATCAAACCTATAAGGAAACCAGCTGAGTGCTTATAAATGCAAATAAGTCCATTCATCTCCAAATGATCGATGTTCGTCTTAAATCTTTCTCTTTGCCTTTTCGTTGTCCGCGTTGCTGTGTGACCAGCAGTCTGCGGGTCAGTCTTCAGCGTTAAAGGTTGATGAATTAGCAGTTATACATTAACTCCAGCGTTTAAGACCATTTATTGTGAAAACTGTGTTAGAACTGCGTGTTATAACGATATTTCAGCAAAGGAGGATTATGATATTTTACCTAAAAATCTAGTTCTGCTGTGGAGCCGCAACAGCTCTGCAGCAGTGGAGAAATTATTCAGCTGCGCAGGCCTGATTCTCTCCCCAAACAGAGTCAGGGTCACTGATGAGAATTTTGAGGCTAACGTGCTGCTGAAGTTTAATTAAGGACTCTGAATGTCGTGTCTGTACATCTTGCTGAAATGTTTAAATTGGAGCAGTTCTATTTCAACAGTTGACAATGCTTTGCACAAAATTGTTTGGATTATATTCAGTTATTTTTGTTGATTTTTGTGAAAAACCTGGAATGATTGACTTTGGTTGTGTAAGTTTGAATGTTGTTTACACTTTTTGTACTTTTGCAGCTTTTCAATTGTTTGTTTCTTTCTGGCACATGATTAAATGCAGTATCTTGTTCACACAATCATTTGGGCTTGTTTGGTGTGTCAGGTGGAGATTCACAATCATTCTGACAATTGGCTTTGAAAGTAGCTAAAAAGTAGTGCACTACTTTTCAAAAAGTAGCTAAAAAGTAGCCACTACGTTTTCTGGAAAAGTAGCTAAATTGTAGCTAGCTACAAATTTTGGGAAAGTAGCTACACAGTAGCTAACTACTCATTTTTCTGTAGCTATCCCAACCCTGCTTTTAGGCTTAGATGTAACACCACATCAAAACTAACCACACCACGTGGGGGCTGCACTTCTTTCTGGCTAGCTCTCATTATGAGTTGTTTATATGCTTTAAAATGGTGCTACATTACTGCCACCAATACTGGGATTAAAATAATATTGGTGTGAATTCTGTGAGTCAGGAATTGAAAAATGCTTATAATGTTGTATTTCAGTATAAGCACATACATTTGATGTTGTGTAGATGATACAGATATGCATGTATTTGGAGTGAACGTGTCTGTCCTGTCCTCTCACAGGTCTTAGTATCCGTGGTGTCCATGAAGACGAGTCTCCTGACCCTCAGCTGATGCGTCTTGATAACATGTTGCTGGCTGAGGGTGTGTCTGGCCCAGAAAAAGGGGGAGGGTCTGCCGCTGTTGCCGCAGCAGCAGCAGCAGCTCTTGGGGGTGGAGCCGAAAACTCCATTGAGCACACTGACTACAGAGCGAAACTTGCCCAAATCCGGCAAATCTATCACACGGAGTTGGAGAAATATGAACAGGTCTGCTGTCTTCTTCTATATATTTACATGTTATGTAAATGTACACTTTTAAAAAAGATCTTTAAGAGTTCTTCAGTAAAGGGAATTCTGTTTAGAACCATGAGTTCTATATATCGTTTAAACGGTATATAGAATATATATATTCTATATAACGTTTCATGCTTAAATGGTTCTTTGCATGATGAAATGGTTCTATATGGTCTTAATGGTTCCCTCACTTGGTATATGGTGCTATATAGAACCATTTTCACAAAGGTTCCATATAGAACAGTATAAAACACATTCTCCATCAATCTGAAGAACCATTTCACCATGCAAAGAACCATTTAAGTATGAAATATGTTCTATATAGGACTCATGGTTCTAAATAGAATCATTCCCTTTACTAAAGAACCCTTGAGGAACCATCTTTTTTAAGAGTGTATGTCTTCTTTTATAAAGATGACATGTATTTATATAAGGGCCTGTGAATGCACCAGAAAGAATTTCTGTAGTTTCTACCACATGCTGCATTCAAGCCAGGAAGATACTTTAAATGTGTTTATACGTTTTTATACAGCATCCTATGTTGAAAACATTTACCGTATAGACAGACCATACTGTATGTATGGCTATTGTAATATTATTTTAACAATATTGTTAAAATACAACATCACTGAAAGTACTTCTCTGAAGCAGCAAAGGACCGACATCTTCACTGCGATTAATTTTAAGCTTTCTATTATAGACTACATGTCTAATAGCATACTAGCTTACCTAGCGCAACCTGTACCAATATACAGTGAGTAAAGTGAGTCCATGAACATTTTCTTTTTTGTCATGTCATTACATAACTATTTAATGTAGCTTGGTAAGTTCACTTTGTAAGTATCTGATCACTGCTGCCACGATAATGCTAATTCACCTAGTTTTGGGATTTACGGTGTACATTAGCTCCAAGCTAATGGTGGTGTACATTCACTTCCCCACATTGAGTTTAACATTATAGAGTTTAAGCTTAAATTCTTTTGGAGCACATGCAAGTAACATATTGTTACTTTGTATAATGCATTTTTTAAGTGAATCCTTTAGTAAATACTTTAAGTAAAAGCCTGTTAGTGTTATTAGAAGAGCCTGGTAGCCTGCTAGCTTTCGATAGAGTAAATGAACTGAAATGACACAATTTGTTCTTTTATTGTTTTTTGATGCTTTAAAAGGGAGTTTTAAATTAGAGAGGCAATATATGTAAGATGCAATTTAACTGCTGTTTTAACTCTTTCATATTATAATATGTATAAGCATATACATGGAAAAGGGCCATATATATTAAGTGCAGTAACTACCTGGCAACCCTGCTGCCAGGAATTTACTGACAGTTTACAGTTTTTTTAACAATATAAGTATAACTATTTGTAAGAGGTTTTTGTGATTGGCAGGCTTGTAATGAGTTCACAACCCATGTGATGAACTTGTTGAGGGAGCAGTCTCGCACTCGACCCATCTCGCCCAAAGAGATTGAGTGCATGGTGGGCATCATACACCGGAAGTTCAGTTCTATCCAGATGCAGTTGAAGCAGAGCACTTGCGAAGCTGTCATGATCCTACGCTCCCGCTTCCTTGATGCCAGGTAGGTTTGTGAACCTTGGTAAACATTATCAAAAGCAGTGAACAGCACATCTTTATCAGCCTTACAAATTCTAATTAGTGAATCCAGCATAAAGTTAAAGTGCACTCATTGCTTATATAGGCATTCAGTTGTGCACACGCAGCTTGTATAATCACCTTAGAAAAGCATTGCCAATAGAATGGAATGCTCTGGAATAGCCACATATGAGCGTAACGTCACCATGGTCAATGCTATGTCTTGGCTAGAAGGATAGCAATAGGCCATGGAGCAGTGGAACTGTCTCCCCTGGAGTGATGGAACTCCATTCAGTACCTTTGGGATGAGCTGGAGTGGCAGAACTAATCATCCAACATCAGTACCTGACCTCAGTAATGCTCTTGTGGCTGAATGCAATCAGCTCCTCATAGCACTGTTCTAACATCCAGCGTAAAACCTTCCCGGAGAAAATGATGTGTAAATCTGTTTATCTGGGCAGACTGAAGAATTCCATGCAATGTTTCATTGTTTGAAACAATTTTCTTGGTTTCCTCAGACCTTTGCTTGCTAAATATACATGGCTGAGTTCAGCAAATACATAAATTAGTCATCTGATGTAAAAAAAAATAGTTCTGAAAACCCAGGTGTACTAAATTCACCAAGATACAATAAGTAAGAGGCTGAAAACAACTGATTAATCTTTGCAAAAAAGAAGGTGCACAAAGTACTGAATGAAGTGGCTCATGTTTTTAAAAGCAGCATGTTTTTAGGGGTTGTTGTGTTCTCTACTGTTTTTGTAAAACATTTTACCTCACTGAAAGATTTTAAAAAAGAGTTTTTAATTTTACTTGAGATCAAGATAATAGACTACCCAAAAACAAGCTTTTTTCACATCTTTACCAAGTGAGGGGGCAGGATGAGTGTTTCAGCAAGCCACTACATTACTGCCACATTTAACATTATCAAGACAGCCTGAAGTTCATTGGGGAAAAAATCTCTCACAAAGCGCAGAGTTGCAGTCGGCTGAGCATGTACATTTCTTTAAGCCCAGAGTAAATTAGGCAGAAACCTGCTCACCAGTGATTCATTTGCTTGAAGGACTGCATAGCAGGACACACAGAGAGCAGTAGACTCTCACTGGGAACGTCACTGATTAGTGAGTAAGAAGGAGAGAGAGTGTATTAGGGTCAGCTGAGTTCAGACTTCATCACTGTTTCCTGACTTTAGTGGTATTTTTCCCATTTTTGATATTGTTTTCAGGTTGTTAGCAGAGTTTAAAGCTAGTTAAGCATATCTGTGGCTTGATGTTAGAAAGACAGATATTTTTAACTTGATATACTGATAGATGATTTCCTATTTAACTCTGTCTTTGTGTCTGATCAGTGAGGCATTCAGAGACTTAGGCTTTGTCTCTTTAACTCATTAAAATCTGAGGAATAGTTAAGACACCTGATTATCTACTAGGAATGTACGTGGGTGGTTATGTATTTGTTATGTTTCATTGCAGGAACACAGAGATAAAAGTTCAGTTCATTGTTTTACATTGTTTTGTGGCTGAAAAAAAACATCAGGTTTGCTCAAAGTGTATTAGTAAGTGTGTTATATTATTCTTTGCTGATAGGAAACACAAGTGCCCTAAAGGGGAATTTGATTAATCTTTCAATATTTCTGCATAAAATAATTATTAGGATGTAAACAGAGTTCAGAGTGGTGTGAAATGAAATGCTCAGTTCTAGAGAAAATTCCCGAGTCAGAATTGTTCACAGTGGAGGTGACAGGAACCAGGCATCTCTCAAAGCTCCCCCACAGAAAGCTATTACATGAAAATGATTATGAATACGTTACCTGTCTGCTACAGTGTTTTATAAGGCTTATATTTTAAGGCTTAAATATATTTTCTTAAATCCATTCATGGCAGAGAGGGCATTGTACAGCAAAAACGTTTTTTCCAGATTTTCCACTATTTTACCATCAACATTACATATAACAACTCAGAAGACACATGTGGGTTCACTGGTAGTTTTGGATGACATATAAAATGTCTATATTTGTGTTGTAGACTTAATGACCCCTGGTTCCTGTCACCACCACCGTAATGTAATGTGAGTCAATAAGTTTTTCTACAATGAATCATTTCAAATCAAACCACTCTGAATGACTTTGTTTACAGCTCAACCACAGAATTATACCGAAATTCAGAAAAATACTGAAAAGTAAGCCTACAGCCCTACATTAATTTCGACTGAAGTTTATTAACGATTACAGATACCTGAACATCAAAATTAGTCAGAAAGCACATCCCTAATGTCCGCATTGAGCATAGCAAAATGTATCAGCTCATGGAAGTTGAGCTTTCTATGTGCTAGCATGTTTCCTATCACTATGTAAAGGAAGCACCATGCTGTCTTTGTCTTTATGCACTGTGAGAGTTTCTGAATTAGTCTGCACTCCAATTCAGAATGACTTGTTATTGATTTGTTTAATCAGAGTAACAGTGTGAATATTCATTTGTTTTCTTGCTCAAAATAGCAATTCCTGACAATTAAAAATCTACTCATTTTTGACTTGGTTCTTTATATATTGAAGTAAAGGTGATGACAGAATTGAGGAATCACAATGACATGAAAAGTAGATTATAAAAGCAGAAATAGCTGCTTTTTTCCTCAGTATTAATCAGTTAAGTAGAACTTGTTTGATACATTAAGTGTGCCTTAATGTGTGAGATGTTCTCTGTTTGTCTTTTTCTTAACTTCCCCAGAAGAAAAAGGCGCAATTTCAGCAAGCAGGCAACAGAGATCTTGAACGAGTATTTCTATTCCCACCTCAGTAACCCCTATCCCACTGAAGAGGCCAAAGAGGAGCTGGCCAAAAAGTGCAGCATCACTGTCTCACAGGTGAGTCAACATGTTTAACATCTGCCCTGCTAAAGCCAAGTCTCGTAAGCTTTTAAGCTGAGATTCTACACTGTTAAAAAAGGTGCCAAAAAGGGTTTTTAGAGTGATGCTGTAGAAGAACCGCCTTTGGTTCCCCAAAGAACTTTTCTGTGGACGTTTCAACCTCTCAAAATGTATTTCTAAGCCATGAACCATTTAGGAATCTTCACTCTTAAAAAGGATATATGGTTCAAGGAAAATAGAACCTTTACATTATGTGGAGGTTGTTTAAGCTTAAAAAATGCTCTTCACACTTACACATCTGAGTGTCAAAAATGGCTTGTTAACACTAGAAAGGCTGGAATTCCATAACTACTAAAAAGACCATAGTGTTTTTTTTTGACCATTTGAATTTCACATGCTCACTTATACGCAACAGAGAATACGATTAAAAACAAATCTTTGTGTATCTTTGTGACAATAAAAAATGTCTGGATGACAAAATTTGGTGGCAGCTTTTTATACTATACTTTTCACTGGGTAGTTTTTTTTTTCCCAAGTTGACCATCTCAGGAAATTGGATGAAATGTTCATATAAACTGCTTGACATTAACTTACCTGTATTCATAAAACTAACACCAATATAAATAATTTGAATCTTTTAGTATAGGTGAATATTCGGTATAATCAACATGAAATTCATTCATCACAGATCATTCTGCTGCAGCCTCAAGTGTTCGTGTCTCATCATTACCCAGATACAGCGCCCTGTTTGCCAGTACTCAGAAGGTCCATATTTTTGCTCAGTCCTAACTTCTGAAACATAGACAAGTTTATTTATATAGCACATATCATACTCAAAGGCAATTCAATGTGCTTTGTTTTGCCTTTACTTTATAAAGGCAAAACAAAACATTAAAAGGGAAAAAATAAAGACAGGGAAAAGTGTGGACCAGTTGGGAGGCTGGTTGTTTTTGGGAAATAATGCTTTAGGTAACCAAAAGAGGTTCTTCAGTGATAGTCTTGCGGGCCAGATGTGATCTCAACAAGTATATCTGAGGACAAGCATTTTTAGGAAATGGACATTTTTTTTAACCAATCCAACGCCTCGTGAAGACGGAGCTCATAGTAGGGGGCGACGTTACAGTCATCGACATTGTCTGTTGAACATTGTGCCTGTTGTTAGCTCATGGATGTAATGTATGTTATCATTACTGAAAAGTCCCCCCAAAAACTCCATTTAAGTATTCAGATCATGCCACCTGTGCTGAGAACACATTGCAGGAAATAAACATTACCTCTTGCGAGAGAAAAACTGTTCAATTAGCTAATGACAGTAACATGCTAGCTAGCTGGCTTGTTTGGCTTGTGTTATCAGACATTCTCTAACATAAAGAGAGATGGCTGTCCTCTTCTGTTTGGCATTGGAAAAAAAAAGCGTAATGCCCAGCCTGGCCAATTTTAACCCAACCTGATGTTAGTGGAGTGTTACAACACTTCTCTTCAGTAATGACAAGTAAGGTCATAGCACAATAATTAAGGCTAGTACTTTACAAAAGTTAGTTTTAAGGATATCATTACTTATCACTGTTATTAAAGTTCACTGAAATACTGATAGCTACAACCCATAGCCATTTAGTCCTGTTTATACTTAAACGAGTGTTACTGCTACTGTAGCTAATCACTGTTAGAAATCCTTTTCTGGGTTACTGTCTTCTACATGCTGTTGTATAACGTGAACAGACCTTTTATTGCTCGAAGATTGTGAAATAAAATGAAATTAACGGAAAATCACTGCAGTTTGGATGTTTGCTGGCAAAAGTGTGCTACTTTGTTCTGCTTCAGCTTATTTTCCTGGTACAAAACAATGGAAATTGCTGTCAGTCATGCTGATTCGACATGAGTAAGCCCACTTTGGTTAGTTAAGTTAAATCTTGGAAAACCATGAGTTGTTTAGATTGTCATTTATTGTTATTATATTATATTATATTTATTTTATGGGTTTTTTTTTGTATAAGACATGTTGTGTCTCATTTAAAATATACGTGTGGTATATTATTGAACATAAACTATAGGACAGTCAGTTTGTTATATTGCTATCTACGTCTACAAAAGAACAGCTTACTCCCATTCATCCACTCAGAGCCTCTGGTCTTGTATTCTGGACTTTCCTCTAAAGCACAGATTAGAGGAATCCGGTGATGGGTTTTAGAGGGGACGTACTCTTGTTTGCGGCAGATTTCGCCGCAATCCAGCACCAAAGGTATAACAGGTTGTCCCTGGATATGTGTGTTTGTTACGAGATCATGTCTGGCCCCGCAAGACTACTTCTGTGGTATTGATTCTATCAACCCAGTTTGGTTCCTTTACTTTTAAGGGAGCAGTTACAGTTACAATTGCAGGGAAGATGACATTGTGTATAATATTATGTCAGAGGTCTGTGCAAGGACTGTGACACTGTGAAGGTGCAGCTAGAGAAACTGATTCAGATACAAACTGCTTTGCCACCAAATGCCAACCTTAATCCGGCCCACATATTTTAATGAATCTTGAAAGGGCAAAGCGATATGGAGACAGACAGTAAGCATGACAAATATATGGGGGGCATCTTTTGTTTGGCTTCTGAGATGTTGTGTTGTGCTGGGTATACGGGTGTGCGAGGACGTAGAGGCGGTTTATAGTGTAAAAAGCCCCTTCTCTTTTGCCCTCAGGGGATGGGAAGCACCATCACTGTGTCACAGGTACGTCACCAAACATCCGTCCTCCATGTTGTCTGTTGCCATTCAGCTGCAGTGTGCTTACAAATATGACAGGATTCATGCATTTGCCAAGATGTACAGAAATGTAGGCATAGATATCTGACACACTTGATGTCATAGCTGTTTCTATTTTTCTATTTTTCTAATACTGTGAAAGCTGAGATATTTTGTGCTATTCAGACATTTTTGTGCTGTACAAAGTTTGACGTGGACCTCCAGCTGAAGTCTCAAACCATAACAAACCTGTCTGTCTACGCACACACAAGGAAAATTCCACACCAGCCACACTTTTCTGAAACTCTTAATACTAAAAGCGTCTGCTTTACTGTATTAATATAACCATTGTGAATATTAAGTACGTTATTCAATTTTCAGTGTCAGAAAAAAAAACAGTAAACAGAAAATTACACAACACCAAGTACAATTTCAAATCTATCCATATTTAATTTGTTCACTCTTTACTTTTGTGCACTCTAGTGTCACTTTAACTTTCTGTCCTTCCAATCTTAAAACCAGCTACAGCTGTGTCCTCCCAACAGAAGGTTCCCAAGGGAGTTACTGGCATTGTTTTCTTCAGAGAGACACTAACATTTACACAAGCAACTACCCAAACTCACCTCAGCTGCCTTACACAATTCTTCCTCCTGTGTGTCTAAAATAGCTCAAGGACAGATTTCTGAGGAGATTAAATAGGAGATAATCCACTTTCATTAGAAAAGGGGAAGTCAAAGGAAAATAACTAAAGGTTTCAAAAACTGGAGTTAAAAAAAAATGATTAAAAGAAACAAAGAATTTGGGACTCCTAACAAACATACAAGACCTGGTAGTCCACCAAAACTGTTCCCATCAGATAAACAGTAAGCTAACATCTTTGAGTGAGAGGAGAAAATCAAACTCAACTCTTGCCTCAGTTCTGAAAAAACCACAGGTGTTTCTGTCCATCCTTCCACTCTGAGAAGACAACTCAACACAAAGGATCTGCTCCTATTCTTAGAACAATAGACTGACTACAACAGAGTCCAGACCGCAACATCACTGAATGTGTTTGGGATTGGTTGGATTGGGCAAAGCAGAAAGTGCAACCAACTTGTAAGGCTAAACTTTGGAGGTGTGGAAAAATATCCCTGCAGCTGAAAGCAACATCTCAGTAAGTTTTTATTGACTGTCAAGCCTAAATTTGAGATTTTTGGAAGGAACAGAAAGCACTATTTACACAACCAAGGCAACAAAAGACTCTTTGAACAATCTACCACCATCAGTCAACCCTGGATGAGGATGAGTGCAAGTGTATTGATGGCATCATGAATGCAAACTTGAATTTTAATACATCAGGCAACACCATCAGTACCAAGAAGATGCTGGTGTTCTCAGAACAATGGACTAACCACCCCAGAGCCCAGACTTCAGGGTCAATGAATGTGTTTGGGTTTACTTTGATTGGGAAAAGCAGAAAATGCAACCAACTTATAAGACTGAACTTTGGAAGTGTGGAAAAACATCCCTGTAGATTTCTTTGAAAAACTTAAAGCAGGTCAAAGTGTGGACACAATACTTCTTTTAAATTTGATTAAATATTTAGTTGTTGAATCTTCTGTGTAATTTTCTGTTAAATGTTTTCCACTTTTCTTCCTGACACTGAAAAAAGAATAACTTGTATCTAATGGCTGTGCAGTCCTAGACGTATTCTTTTGAACCAGCAACATGTGCCTATATTTGTCATGTGTTATAGGTTTAACTTACTGATACATCAAATTATGACTTCTCACTGTGTCTCTTTTTCAGGTTTCTAACTGGTTTGGGAACAAACGCATTCGCTACAAGAAGAACATCAGTAAATTCCAGGAAGAGGCTAACCTGTACGCGGCTAAGACAGCCGTAACAGCTGCTCAAGCCGTAGCCGCTGCTGTGCAAAACAGCCAGGACAGCAGTTCACCAGCTACACCCAACCATGGTACAAAAGCCCCCTGACACCCCATCTTCACCTATATATATGTGTGTACATACATATTTTTTTTCAAAATGTTTTTTTTCCCCACAGGTTTCCAGTTGAAAGATGAAGAATTTCAGCTGGATACCACAGAAAGCAAAAACAATTTGTTAACTAGCATGTTCACAGGTACCACACCTTCCATTGTTATCATTTGAAATAGTTTTGGCATTTGAAAATTCTCAGAAAAGTACAAATCCATCAAAATGTTACTTGAGTACATGTAACTGAATAAATGTAAATACTACCTGCTTCTTCTTCTTCAGTGTTTTTACAGCCAGTTAAGCTATTAGTTAACACTGCTTATTCAATCTTAATTTATCTTATTAGCTAACCGTTATAAGCATAGTATGTTTTTGATACAATTTTCAAATGTGCAATGTCATTTTTTCAGTGTATAGCCTATTCCTGGCAGCTGTATAGTCATCACCCTACCCATTCCAATGCTACCACCTTATAATGATACAAAACAATAGCAATCAACCAGAAAGCTGGATTCACACAAACATAGCCAACACTTCAGCACCCTTCACCATAAAGCATACGCCACTCTCGACAGGCATGTTCAGCCAATGACATAACCAAGTATAAATCAGACAGCTGGGATGTACAAAGATAAGGGAAAAGAAACACAGCAAATTACAAACCTAAACCCAATCATCATAGACCAAAGCATACTGGTACAGCAGACGGACCCAAAGAATAATAAACATTTTATCCCACATAGATTTTCCCTCCAAATATAACTGGATCCTCTGAATGATAAGGTCTAAAGGAGTCAAAATACAAATATTGCCACATGCAAGGTGGCTTTCAACATTCCCATTCATCCCAAGGGTGTTCTGTGGGGTTGAGGTCAAGGCTCTTTGTAATCGAAATCATGTCTTTATGGACCTCACTTTGTGCACAGTGGTACAGTCATCTTGGAACCGGGAAAGGGTCTTCCCCAAACTGTTGCCATAAAGTTGGAAGTATACAAGTGTAGCATTAACATTATCCTTCACTGGAACTAAGGAGCCCAAACCCTAAAAAACAGCCCCAGACCATTATCCCTCCTCCACCAAACTTTACTGTTGGCACTAAGCATTCCAGTAGCGTTCTCCTAAAATCCACCAAACCCAGATTCGTCCTTCAGACTGCCAGATGTGAAACCTGATTCATCTCTAGAGAACACTGGTCCAGACTCCATTGGTATGGCGTGCTTTACACAGCCCTGGCTGACACTTGGCATTGAGCATAGTTATGTTAGGGTTGTGTCCAGCTGGTCAGCCATGGAAACCCATTTCATGAAGCTCGGAACGCACAGTTTTTGTGCTGATGTTGCTTCCAGAGGCAGTTTGAAACTCTGTATTTGGTGATTCTACAGAGGATAGGCACTTTTTCTGCACTAAGCGCTTCAGCACACTGTGGGCCGAGTGCAAGTATGTGTTGTCATGATTGTTTGCATGGAGATTTAAGTAAAAACTGAGTAATTCTCTACCATCTGCTCTTCTTCTCTCCAAGCTTCATCAGGATCTTTTAGCTTGCCAAGTTCAGGAGACATGTTCATGAGCATGCCCACCTTGAATGGAGGCTCCTACCAGCGCATGCAGCTCAGCAACACTGGACAGCCACAGGTAACACACAGACAAAAAACTAGGCCTATCAAAATCTGATCTGTTTTACTAGCAGAGTTTCAAAAGGGCTGAATCTCAAATGACTCCCCGCTCCCTACACAGTGCACTACGTAGGAATTTAAGTACTGGATCCTGCGCCCAAACAGTGCAAAATATAGTTAAGAAGTAGTCATTTGGGACTCGCATCCATACTTGATAAATGATGCACTACTTGGCTGTAGAGGCTGGGATTTTTAAACTTTCATAGCTAGCACACTATTTAGGAAATATGGAGCCATTTGGGAATCAGCCTGGGTTTCACACGATTTCTGACTGATAGACAAACATTTGAAATGTGTCATTCATTCAAGTGACATTTCCTGTTAGCTAGCTGATCAGCCTAGTCCTAGTTAAAAACATCTCCAGCCCTTCAGTTCAAACAAAAAATGTGTTCTTACTTTGTTAACATACTCAGTGGTCGATCCAAGCAGCATGAGAGTCAGAGAATATTCCATTAACACCACAAGGGTTTTTCGTGCTGTGGCACAGTAATACAGAGTTGAGTTATTGTGAGGTGGTCATGGGTGTGCATATATCGTGGATTTTGCAATGGCTTCGAAAGCGGCTCAGTCGGTCAGATTTTAGGACCAAAATTATCTGTTTTATAAGACACAGTATGACTCACTGCGAGCTATAAAAATGAACCAAACTTCACTGTGTAGCTGAATGCTGTGGTCATCCATTTTTGGCTGAATCTCAAATGGCTCACTGCTCCCTGTATAGTGCACTGCATAGATCATCAAACTATGGCTTGTACACCCAAATATTACACTAAATGCCAGCTGGAAAGTCATACAGCTTATGAGACAAAACCTGCTGTGCTGTGGTGATTAATGAAAAGATTTGGGTGATTATTGATTTCTAGGCTTGTTTTGCACTAGAAAGTCAACAAAATGTGTCTTTTGGCCAGGGGTGCCAAAACAACTTTGTATATGTGTGCAATTAGCTGTGTGCTTATAAGCACAGCACGTGTATTTTTCACAGAATGATGTAGAAAACACTTCAACCTTTCTGGTGTGAAAACACTATTTTAGAAAGTTGTTAAGCGATATATAACAATATTAATTGTCACTATATGAGTGATTTCCTCAGTACGTGCTCTGGCGTTTTGTCTTTTAGACCACCTCAGTCGCTCTGCACTACTATTGTCCTTCTGCATGGCTGCTCTATAAGCTTTTTTTTTGTCTGTATTTGTTTCCTTTAAATCATCTCTTACTTTTTATAAGTGTGTTGTAATGATTTAGGCCAGCTTCCATCTGCAGCAAATCCAGTAGAATTGAAATGAGTTTGTTCATACTAATGCACAGTGAAAATAGTGTATCACCCAGCCAAAGGTTTTTGTTTAACTCAGTGTAGTGGGTCAGCTACATTTAGGATGTTTTAATTTTTGTTGTATCCATGTATCTGTGGTTCTGATGCTGTTTTGGTTAAAATTAATCGATTACAGTGGCAGGAGTCGAGAGTCAGAGTCAACTCCAGAAAACCCAGAGTCATGCATCACTACTGTTCACTCTGAAACATAGAGACAGCATGCAGGGTAGTCGGGGGAAGGGTGGTTGCTTACAATTTGCATAATCATGCATATTTATAAGTCTTCGCATTCTTAATGTGTGTGTGTGTTTAGGTTTAGGGACGCTTCTGTGCCATTTTTAGTGGTTTCCTGGGCATAAAAATAATACAGAAATATATTTTTACATAGATTTTTGTGTGTGTGTTTTAAATCATGACCTTAAAGGTACTTTAAAGTGAATACATTTCATGTCTCGAGTCATTTGACATTTAATTTTCCAAACAGATTTTAGAAATTAAATGGCTGAGTGCTTGTGACTGTGAAGGGAAATATGTGACTGGTATCTTCTGCTTACTCTGTCTTTCTCTGTCTCTGCAGGGGGAAAACATACATGGCATTGGTCAGGCGGCGGACTACAGCGAAGCTCTGCGGGGTCATCCTCTCTATAGTCCTCACAGTTTGAATGTAAGTGGCAAGAGCAGAAATTTTCTTGTGTAGTACCATAGCTGAAAAAATGCTACCATGGCTAACAATCTATGAAAAAATAGGTGAGAACCAGTTAACATGATTTCATTTGCATAATGCTAAATGGCACCTATTAGATTTCATTTTAACTAGTATTATACTGCCCTACCTAAAATAAGTATACTTGTAGTTTTGGTCAAAAATATGACTAGAATTGGAACCTGAGGATTAAATTTATCATGTGACAAAAGTTCTTGGCTCAGCTATGGTCCAATTCAAAGACAACAGAGGGCCAGATGTGCATATGAGCGCAGGATCTGTGCAAAAGGTGCCTTGATGTGACCGTAATATGTGCTCTCAGTGTGTTTGAAAGTGGAGGTGTGGTGGAACCATCAACAAACTCAAGACAAAATAAAACTTCAGTGATGTATTCAAAAAAGATTTTTCACACCAAAACATTCTACAGGGCTGTAATTCTACACCAGCATTCACATATATAAGAACCATGAGATAGCTGAACACTATACTGCACCAGAGCCTACACCTTACAGTTTGGTAAGAGGTTCTGATCTGTTTAGTCCCATGAAGGAAGCCTAGAAAACATATTGCAGCTATCTGAAGGCTACTGTACGCGGAATGAGAAGCTCTGTGTCGCACAGCAGATAGTACAATGTGTAGCTATAGCTCATAGGAAGCATCACGGAAGAGTGCCAACACATCAAGCTGAAGTTCATTTAGTGATTTTTTTTAAATTGGTATCAGCTAACTGGCTCTACACAAACTTGCTGTTTTCCATATAAAAGTATGAGGTGAAATAAGTTCAGTGATTTTGCTGGTAACATTAGCTAAGGTAACATGTGTCTGTCATCTTAAAGACTTTAGATTGGCTGGCCTTCTATGTATAAATTTCAGAGTGTAAAACACGCTAACGGGGGCCACTTAGCTGAAAGGCTTAGTCCGGCTTCTTTCAGTAATCACTCACTCTCGTGTAGTTAGCTGCAGTCTGAGTTAGTCCAGGTTGTTAGAGTGAAAGTTAGAGAGATGTTAGAAGAAATAAAGAATTTTCAACAAAACAGCTGGTCTCTTGTGGTAATGATAGCCACCACACACTGGACGCACCATGTCGCGTCGCACAACATCCAAAAATTCAAAACCATTGCTTTTAATGGAGTTTCATGCACTGCCACAGACACTCAGCTTTGGCTCACACTGTTGAATTACTCTCATAGCATTTTACCCTAGCTAGATTAAATTAAAGCCATATGGGGAACACAGAAAGCTGTAGTAGATCACATGTGGCTAGCAGTTTACACAGAGAAAGGCAGTCAGTCTTTTAGATAAACAGACAAATGCTAATGGTAAGTTACCTCAGCTAACATTACTCTCCAAGCCTTTATTAGCTTGTATCTTTCAGCTTAAAACAGCCAGTCTGTGTAGAGGTAGTAAACTGATGCCAAGCAAGATGAGTGCTGCTGAACGCTTTATTTCATTAAATGTATGCAAGTAGATGCAGTGTAAAAACGAACTTGAACCTAGCATTTATTGGCTTTCCCTGCTAGCATTCTGTAAAACTCTGCTATGTCCGGTGTGCGGTGGCCTGGTTGGTTTAGCCTTTCGCACAGCGGCCCACTAGCCCACTAAACTTTTGCATATAGTTATATAAGTTATGTAGTTAAAATTCATACACTTTTTTTCCCAGCACTTTTTCAGCTGCCCCACTTGAAGATTGGCTGGCTAGTGGCCCCCAGGTAATTTGAGTTTGGGTCCCCTACAATAATGCCTTACAAATTCACATTCACCTTTGACTGAAATGCCCAGCCTTATTTCCCACATTGGGAAATAATTTTCAAAGAAACTCTGATGGTGTCAGTGATGGTAAGTTTAAAGAGGAATGTTGTTTTTTAGCAACTTCCATATTAACCCTCATACACACACACACACTTACACATTTAAACCATTCTGAAAGTGGCCTGGAAAAGGAACTGGGATAATCTCGTTCTAGCAGGCCTCCCAAAGCCGTTCAGGAAGTCGCCAGTATGATCAAACTGCCTCTTTCCACGAGCCTGCGCAAAGACGACAGCACAGATTAAGCTGGGGAGAGTTGACAGCAGTCCTGTGGAAAAAAAAGGAAGATAAATGTGGGGTTTTGTATTAATATTCCATCTCTCTCACGCACACGCACATACAGCCATTTGCAAAGGGGAGAAAGCAAACACATTTCATTTCCATTTTCTGAAACGCATCTAATAAGGCAGCGACATGCCGGGCTTTCTCTGGCGAATATCTCCTTTCTCATTGGGCTGCTCGAAGAGCAACTCCTGACCGCCCAAACTACACCCTCACCACCATTCTCTCACTCTCTCACTGAGCAAATTTGCAGTCCATTTCCTTATCACTTTAATGAAATATGAAACTGGAATTGCCTGCAGCTTTGTACAGATGTGAGTAGCGTCGTCCCAGATGAGGGCCGATAAGACACACTTTATAATGGAGTCAATCTGAAGTCGCAGCGTTACAGATTCATTTATCTGTTGAGGTGGCTGCATCGAGGAAAGGGAAAATGCCTTCCAGATAGCGTGTCCTCGTAAAGCAGTTGTGGTGAAAAATTGACCACAGTCTGCTATCTCTCTGAGGAAAAGCAAGGTAGTGCCTAAATTACATATACGTGCACATTCATTGATTCAGCTCTTCATATAACGTCCTGCAGCAAAGAGTTAACTGTTATCACCTCAAGTCTAAAAACAGAACAAACCATTTAAATCACAGTGGAAAAATCTCAGGATTTAGATATTAAGTCTAAATCTGAATAAAATAAAACTATAAATATATATATATATATATATATATATATATATATATATAATTTAGTTATGTGTGTGGTGGGTTGACTGTAGGGTTACAGTGGGACCCTGTAACATATACAATAAAATACAAATATATAGTAATATGGAGATGAAACAATATTTTAATTAACATCTGAGAATAAGTTTAAAACACCTGGTTGCTATGGTATTATGCTATTATGTGGTTGTTAGGTGGTAGCAAGACTGCTAGGGTATTGCTCTGTGGTTGTTTGATGTTGCTAAGCAGTTGCTAAGGAATCCAAGGCGGTTGCTAGGGTGTTCTTAGGTGGTTGGTGTAGTGATTATGGTGGTTGCCAGTGTGTGGCTAGCCAATTGCTATGTTATCATATGGGGTTGCTAAGATTTTTCCAAGCAGTTGCTATGGTATGTTAGGTGGTTGCTAAGAGGTTCGTATATTATTCCAGGTGGTTTCTAGGTGTGGCTGCTGTGGTATTGGCTAGGGGTTTGCCTGAAGGTTGCTATGGTGTTTCAGGGTGCTGCTATGGTTGCTAGGGTATTGTTAGCTGATTGCTATAATATTCTGAGTGGTTGCTAGGGTGTCACATATCGATTGCTGTGGTATCTCTGGTGGTTGCTAGGGTGTTGCTAGGTGGTTGCCATGGTATCCCAGGTTGTTGTTAGTGTTGCTAACTGGTATCTCTGGTGGTTTCTATGGTGTTGCTAGGTGTATTTCATTTCAAAAGAATTAAAGCAATAAAACAGTTTAAAACATCTACACAATAGAGCACATAGAAAACACAAAACTCTCCTCTATCAGGTTATTTTAAAGTAATGTAAACGACTCATAGTGGGTTTTAGGTCCATCACCTTTTTTCACCTGCATTTGTAAAGTGTGCTGTGATGGATCAAGTAGTTTCAGTATCGATGGAGCTGCATTCATATAGATTACTTCACCATAATTCAATTTTGATAAAATTGCTAGTTTTTTCAATTTTTTTTAAAAAAGACAAGGTTTTAGTGTAAGTCTTAGTATTTTTATTAATGCCTAAATGTGTCCTAAAAGATAGCTTGCCATACATCCATATTCCCAACTCTGCCATTCAAAGCATTTACTGTTTGCATTAAAACTATCAATTCCATGAGATCAAGAGCAACATACATTTTGTCTTCCCTTCATTCAACACTAGTTTCATGCTAAGTAAAGATTTCTGTTACAGTATCAAAGCTTCCTGTGTAAAATCTTCTTTCCTAAAATTTCCATGGCTTGTGTTACAGAGGAAGCACATGAATATTTGGCAGTATCATATGCATAAATTTTTTTTCATTGATATATAATAAGAAAAGCATGGGTCCAAGGATAGAGCCCTATGGAACCCCACTAGCCAGTTGTTTGTTTTCATGAGCAACAACACATTGAGCTCTGTTAAGACAACAATAGAACCAACTGTGTGCCCGCTAGTCAAAGCAACAGAAAGCAGTATATAGATTCTTAGTGAGGGCCCACTGTGAGGGAATCAAATCAGCCTGCATTTCATCAGCGATAAAAAAGGAACTGGGTACCCAACAGAGTGATGTGTGAAAGTGGGCGGGATGGGTTGGAGGCATTTGCGTAGTAAGGTGTCGTTTTGGGTTTAGTCGAGCAAAGCCGTCTGGCCCGAGGGCACGGAGGCGAAGTGCCATCTTCTAACAGCTTCAAAGAGTAGTGAGTGTCTCACACACACTCTCACTCTGCTGCCTTATTTAGGTCAAAGAGGATCTGTTGTGTGTGTATATATATATATATAATATGTATATACATATATACATAAATGTGTGTGTGTGTGTGTGTGTGTGTGTGTGTGTATGTGTGTGTATGTGGGCTTGATTGATATAAACATTTTGTGGCTGATACTGATACAGATTTTTAAGGGGCTTAAAATTTCAATAACCAGTAATATCAGCCAATTAATTTAAGATTTATTTCTTTTATTTTAGATATTTTAGATGTAGTACTTGATGATTGTTCTCAAGTGTTAGACTTTATAAAGTCAACTAAACTGCATAAACTCACGAAGAAAGAGTTTCTGTCAATTACCTCATTTTTTGCTAGTTCTCTTCATAAAAAAGGAATTTTGTGATATGGTTTTCTCATGTTAAAGATGTGGATACATTTAACATTTTTGCATTTACACATGATATTTTGTAAGCACATTGACCTGTTCAGCCTGTATTGCTGTGATATGTTTTAACAGGGCGTGACTCATATGACCAAAATATGCTGATCCTCAGCGCATTAATCGGTAGTGATGCTTATTCTGAATCAATCGTGATGTTTAGGTAAAATAAATCGATTGCTCTGATACTCGTGATCTTTAATATCATTATAGTAAAAATGTTGTTATTGTAATAAACAATATGGTTTTCTGAGCATATCATGGATATGATCAGTACCTAAAGATCCTTGACCAGCTGCATGCTTCTTTACGAATAGAGGGCAATTAGCCCTGTTTAAATGGATTTAGTGCAATACAGTTGGTGAAATGATAAATAAAAATGGCTGTTTATACATGTGGCACTACTGGTGCTTTGTGTCCATGTTAAAATATAGTGATACATATGTTGTATCATTAAAACAAATTTTCTTGTTTCAATTTACTTGCATATATATACATATATATATATATATATATATATATGGTGTATCACACCCTTACGGTAATCTCTCTCTCTCTCTCTGTCTCTCTTTTTCTATCTTTCTCTCTGTCTCTGTAGGGTAATGGTGGATGGCATGAAGCAGCTACTCCTTCCTCAGTGACCTCTCCTGCAGAAGCAGCAGGCAGCATTCATTCTGATACTTCCAACTGATCTGGCCTTCTCCATTCTTAAAGCAGCCACCTTCATCAAAATGCCTGCTGATGAAGCACCAACAGCGTTTTAAGATGACGCATTCAGACGTCTGAATGACGCATTCAGACGTCTTCTGCAAAAACCTTACCCAGTGACAGCTGCCTATGGAAGGTTTTTTTGGTAGACATCCAAACATATACTGTCGGAAAACCTCCAGTGGTTATAAATCAACATTTACAGTCATACAGTTGTGAAGATTATTTCACTCTGTTCTCCTGCCAATTAACCAGAAGTCCAAACATTGGAAATATAAACTGATAGCTGTTAGTGGAACATCAACTACAGCTTCTTCACCAGAATCTATAATTGTATATCGATTGTAATAGTTAACATGTAATTAGATTGGTTTCTAGTTCATTTTTATGAAGCAAGTGCGTTTTTGAGGCATCTCTTCTGTTTGGTATATACGCAGTGTTTGCTAGACTATGAAAATAATGTCCGGACCGTCCATTAATAATAGTTGAACAGATACCTGCCTTTGTTCAAATCTTTCAAATATTTCTTGTATGTATAAAGTATCATTGATGTGATTTGACTAAAATCATACAAAACAATTCAGATTATTTCTACATTCCCTAACATGTAACAGTGATATCATTAACATGGGGCTCACTTCGTGCTCACCAACTACCTCTTAGCATTATAGCTCATTGTTCTTTCCAGCGTTTTTTAACATGGAGCATTTAAGGAGCGTTTATGTGTCCAAAGGTTTGTAGACCATTCCATGTTTCTTCTAAAATCAAAGATATTTATAAGGAGTTTGTTCCCCCTTTGCTGCAGTAAAAGCCTCTTCCCTTCTGGGAAGGCTCTGGAACAGTGCTGTGAGGATTTGATTGCATTCAACCCCAAGAGCATTAGTGAGGTCAGATGCTGATGTTGGATGATTAGTTCTGGATCACAAACACCACGACTCTTCAACTCTTCCCAAAGAGAGAACGCAGTTCCACTGCTCCACAGCCCAATGCTGGGGGGCTGTATTCCCCTTAAGGCAATGCTTGGCATTGGGCATGGTGACCTTTAGCTCATGTGTGGCTGCTCCAGAGCATCCCATTCTATTAGTAATGGATATTATACAACCTGTGTTAAAATAAAAGATAAAAAACACCCTAAAATATGGTGTGTATGTACTGCTGCAAGTCGCCCTGTAAAGGCCGAAATAATAATTTTAAGGTGTCGGGTCAGATTCCGTGGGAGTTTTTTGGACCACATCAAACCTCCTTCCATATTAACATCACACACACAGGATCAAAAAGATGATCCAGCTTGATGTTTAGGTCTCAAACATAAAATCAATATTATACTGATGAAGATATGATGACAATAGTAGACATCCTTGGAGACACGTCCTTAGCCGAGTTTTGACTGAGTTCTCCTTGAACACTCTTGCTCGCAATCATCGTATTCATCCTCTTGGGGAAGGGGTCCAACTGACCTTTAGAAAATGTTCTTCCACATGTGTGCAGTTACACATTTCCACCACAGAGGTCTCCAAATCCCCATGTCTGACATAGTGTAACTTTATGGACCCATCCACTGATGGCTAAGAAGAGTTCTATAGGGAACAAAAATGGTTCTTCTATGGTATCACTCTAAAGAACCCTTTTTGGCACCTCTATTTCTCAAAGTGTAATCCAGGATCACAGCTGGTAACTATATATACCAAACTATATAGAGAGTAACTATATACATATATACATATACATATATATATATACACACACACACACACCAAACACTGGGACTTATGTACATTTTGAAATTTTTTTGAATGTTGTTCATTTTCATACTTTTTAAATAACTGTAGCTATAAACTCTGTACATATGAAGCCCTAGTGCTTCTAATCCATACTCTGTATTACAGGGTATATATATTCTTTGATTGCAAGTTTCTGTGTTTTTTCACTTTTATTTCTCTTCTTGTTTATATAGTTTAGTGTTTATATACAGTACTGTGTGAAAGTCAGAGACCACCTTTTTCATTTCTTTCATTTCTTGCTATTTTGGCCATTCAGCATAAGTTTTTTATTTTTCAGTGTCAGAAAAGGTCAGAAAAATATATATATTAACACAACAGAAATTAACACTAAAGGAAAAAGTATCATTCCAAATCTATACATATTTAATCTGTCACTTTCGTCCACCTCCTGTAACTTTAACTCTTCCATCTTTCAAATCTTCCTCCCGACCTGTTACAGCTGTGTCCTCCCAAGAAAAGGAGACTTTGACATTGTTCCTCTTCAGACACTAACATTCACACAAGCAACTACTCAAACACACCACAGCTGCCTCACAAATTTCTTTCTCATAAACATCTAACATGACTAAAGGGAGAGATTTCTGAGGAGATTAAATATAATTCATGTAATAAGGAAGGGAAAAGTTAAAAAAGAAAATAAGCAAAACAGTTTCCAAAACTGGAGTTGATAAAAATGATTAAAAGACTTAGAGAAGATGGGACTCTTTACAACCACGCCAGACCTGGTAGATTTAGTTGATTCAGGTGAGCTGCCAAAGTACCAATCAGAGGTGGCTTCTACTCTCAACCAAAACTCCCAGCAAGTAGGTTATTTAAGCTTATCTAAACTTATTAATGGTGCTTGTTATGAAGGTTTTTTACAAGGTTTTTTGTGGAGTAGCTAGGTGCTGCTTCCTAATTGTGATAGCCACCGCTTACAAGATCCTAATAAAAGTGATGACCTTCATTTGCAAGAGCGTGATAGTTTGCAGTCCTCTGTAACTGTAGGAATAAAGTGATACATTAGTTGAGCATTATGTTAGCTACCTCCCTAACATTAAGGCTCACAGTGTTTCCCTGCCGTTTAACTTTACAGGCGTGGTGCACAATGAGGCACATGAGAACTTTCTCCACGTGTGCACAAATATGACTGTCCTGACTTATAATGGGAACGGGGAAACATTTGAAACCGTGTTGACCCGGGCTTTAAAGCTTTCAACTTTAAGAGGTAGGAGAAAATCAAGCTCCATTCTTGCTTCAGATATGAAGATCTGTTTCTGTACAACGATCCACTTTGACAAAACAACTCCAGGCTATGGGTCTGAAAGGATGTGGAGCAGTCAAGAAGTTCACTCAATCACTGATCTAAGCCACTTATCCTCCTGGGTCGGGGGGCGGTGCTGGAGCCTATGAAGTCAAGAAGCTGATATTGAGAAAAGAAAAAAAAATGTGCAGTAGAACACCATAACTGTGTGTTCCATAAGTACAGTGAGGTTTAATGGACTGATGAGTCCAAGTTTGAGATCTTTGGAAGTAACAGGAAGCAGTATGTATGCTGCAGCTGGAATAGAAGAGTTTTCAAGCCATGTCTCTAGCCATCAGTCAAGCATGGTGGAAGATCAGTGATGAGGATGTTTAACAGCATTTGGACTTGGTTAATTGTTGTGGATTGAGGACATCATGAATACTGATAAGTGCAAACATTGGAGTACAATTTTAATACATCATGTACCTACTTTATTTCATACCTGGTGTAAAACATTTTAATGGGAAAAATTCTACTGAAAAATAACGACCCCAAGCGCACTGCTGAGAAGATCCTTAAGATACTTATTAAGGTACAAGCTGCTGGTATTCTCAGAACAATGGACTGTCCACCTTAGATACCAGACCTCAACATCATCGACTACGTTTAGGATTATTTGGACCATGAGAAGCAGAAAGTGTAATCAACTTGACTGAACATTTTAGAAGGAGCATGGAAAAACATCCCTGCAGAGTTCTTTGAAAAACTGAAAGCAAATTTCTAGAAGTAAGTAGTAAGTAAGTAAAGTTTATTTATATAGCGCTTTTTACAACAGGTGTTGTCACAAAGCAGCTTTACAAGGAAATGAGCATTACAAAAAGAAGTCCGGGTCCGAGCCCCCATGAGCAAGCCAGTGGCGACAGTGGCAAGGAAAAACTCCCTAAGAGAAACAGGAAGAAACCTTGAGAGGAACCAGGACTCAGAAGGGGAACCCATCCTCCTCTGGTCGACACCGGATAGTAAACATTGTTAGTATAAAGTATTATAGTACAAAAAACAGGGTAAAACGTGAAGGAAACAATTAATTTGAATAGTTCAGTTCATGCAGCAGAAGCAGCAGCATCAGTGGGGTCAGGTTGTGAGGGTGAGGTTTGCACGGTGAGCAGTGGCACCCGATCAAGGCAGCAGAGGCAGCAGCATCAGCAGCAGGATGGGCAGCTGTTCAACTCAGCAAAAGAAAGAGAGGAAAAACACAGTCAATGGGTGATTGATTAATTTGAATTAGTTTGAATGATTGATTGGTTCAAGTGAATAATTTTGAATAGTTCATGCAGCAACAGCAGTAGTATCAGTGGGGTCAGGTTGTGAGGGTGAGGTTTGCACGGCGTTGAACAGCAGGAGGCTCAATGTTGGTAACCCGGTCCAGAGGGCTGGCGAGCAGTGGCACCCGATCGAGGCAGAAAAGGCAGCAGCATCAGAACGCACAGGATGGGCAGCTGTTCAACTCGGCGAAGAAAAGAAAGGAAAACACACAGAGAGGAAAACACACAGAATTAGTTCTGTAATGGGTGACCGATCACAAATTACAGTGTTAGCAGAGACTCTGGCAGGTATAGAACTAACAGGGAAAACTAATTACCAAAGGCTTGAATATACAAGTAGGTTTTTAGCCTAGACTTAAAGACTGAGGCTGTGTCTGAGTCCCGAACATTAACCGGAAGACTATTCCAAAGCTGGGGGGCTTTGTATGAGAAAGCTCTCCCCCCTGACGTAACTTTATTAATTCTAGGTACTAATAGTAAGCCAGCACCTTGTGATCTAAGTAGGCGGGATGGTTCATAGTGAGAGAGAAGTTCACTCAGGTACAGCGGGGCGAGTCCGTTTAGTGCTTTATAAGTCAGCAAGAGAATTTTATAATCAATCCGAAATTTTACTGGCAACCAGTGTAAGGCTGATAAAACTGGGCTGATATGGTCAAACTTTCTGGTTCTAGTAAGAACTCTGGCTGCAGCGTTCTGGACCAGCTGAAGCTTGTTAATGCTTTTGCTGGGACATCCAGCCAGCAGGGCATTACAGTAATCTAGCCTTGAAGTAATAAATGCATGAACTAACTTTTCTGCATCCTGTAGAGATAATGCATTTCTCAATTTAGCAATATTGCGAAGATGCAGGAAGGCTGTTCTAGTAATATTAGTTATATGTGTGTCGAAGGACAGATCAGGGTCTATAATGACACCAAGGCTTTTTACATATGAGCTTGATGCAACTGAGAAATTGTTAAGTTTAAGTGTTAAATTAGACAGTTTGTTTCTAGCTGCTTTTGGACCAAGAAGCAGAACCTCTGTTTTATCTGAGTTTAGAAGGAGAAAGTTACTCGACATCCAGTCCTTTATGTCTTGTATACAGTCTTCAATCTTGCTAAGTTTAATTCTATCATCTGGGTCGCTTGCTAAATATAACTGAGTGTCATCGGCATAGCAGTGGAAGTTTATGCCGTGTCTACTGATAATGGTGCCCAGTGGTAGCATATATAAAGTGAATAATACAGGTCCTAAAACAGAGCCTTGTGGAACACCATATTTTACTTTTGTGAGAACAGATGATTCACCGTTTATATTAACAAACTGATACCGATCAGTGAGGTAGGACCGGAACCAGGAAAGAGCTGTTCCTGTTACCCCTACAAGGTTTTCTAGTCTGTCTAGTAAGATAGTGTGGTCTATTGTGTCAAATGCCGCACTAAGATCGAGGAGGACTAACAAGGACACATGATCTTGGTCAGAAAATAATAATAGATCATTTACAATTTTTACTAGTGCTGTTTC